ACTTTAGGAAAAATTGCTTTCGGTGACATATCAGTTTTTAAGATTTCATGTTTTATGACAGTTAAATATCTTGAAGTCAGCAGGGTTAGGGTTTCTGGGCTTAATTTGATTGACTTATTGATTGACTGGCCATTTTTTCCAGGAAAGCAACGTCTACAGATGCAGTGGTTATAATCCATGTGTCCCTTTTTTTCCCCTATAAAAACTAACCTAAGCCATCAAGTCCACCATGGAGAGAGCTGCAGAGATGACCTCCATATGGCTTTGGATCAGGAAGAGTGACCTATGCAGGGGCGTATTCTGACTTCTTTGATCAACACTGGCTGGGTCGCCTGAGCGAGGGTGTTTGATATTGTGAGACTGAAACACCAGATGACCTCAGGATACAGCGCTGATCATGCGTCCCAGTGCGTTCTGGGATGTATCTTCAGATCACCTTGTGTTAGATTGTATGTCGTCGAAATGCTTTGTAATTGAATAACCCGTATTAGGATTTACCAATTAGCAGCAGTTGCACTCTTAGTGTCTTTAAAGATGGTGAAAGAAAGAGTGTCAGTCTGCTTGGAGAAACTGCTTTACGTAAGAAAAGAGATCCTAACAATTATACCAAATTTCATAGCGACTGTGCCAACTCATTTGGACTTAAAGCCATTATGTGATAGGCTACACTCGTAAAAAAAATTATCACAACTCAATTTCTTATAGTGACCGGCACAATGGTCTGTTCAAGTGCGGGTGGATGATAATGGATGATGCTTTGTCAGCCATATTCAGAGACATGTAATTGCCGCAAGCCCTTAGTTAATAAAAAAAATTGCTTTAGTCACAATAACTCTACAGTATCCGTCTGCAGCCTTGGAGCTCGGCCTGTCTCTAAAACCCCTGAGTGAAACATGGACAGTGAGTAGAACCTGAGAAATGACTGAAAAAAACAGGGCAGCACGGAGGAGATGACCGTGGATGCATTTCAAGAGTTTGTTTCCAAAACAGTGATGCAATGAGCCAAATCAACCTGGTCTATTTGGAGAGGGTCTTATTTTAGCAGCATACTAGGCGCCATGGTTTGTGACCTTTGTTAAAACATGACAATCCTGGGGTAAAAGTCTAAATATTATCATCTATTAATTCTATACCTGCTTAGTCTTTTTCAGGATCCCAACAGGAATGCAGACTCCAATCCAAAGCATGCGTGCCAGCAAGTGAAATACAGTAATAGTCAAACGACAAGTAAAAGCTAAAGCACAATATAATAGTTCTCTGTTTCATGCAGTGTGGAGGCTAAAGGCTAAACACATGGTAGATTTAGCCACAGGGCAAGTCCCTGCGCCAGATCGTAAAGGACCCTGAAAGTTACACATCCACTGCAGATACGTTTGAATTTTAACCTTTAAATTTGAATCACAATATACTTTATGAGTCCAAGTCAGACAGAAGTGAGACTTCATCAGTTGTCTTAATACAACAAGATTCAATCTTGGTTATTATATTAACAAGTATGGTCATTTTACTCACTTCATGAAATTGCATTAAATGTACATGTTCTAAACAGTACTTGTGTAACAAATTTAGTTTCTCTTATGATTTTTATTATCACAGATCTATAATTTATGATTTTGTGGTGGATTACTGAATCAGACAGAGAGCGGGGGGGGTTTAAATGTCCTGGTGTGTGCGTGAAGCTATTATCATACAGCCCTCGGGCTCACTTTCAGGGCTCGTTTTGATCTTAAACAAACAAGTCTGAGCTCTTTATATCAGCTTGTCAGCCAAGGATCTATTCAGACTGCAGCGGCTACTGTTTGACTTTGCCAATTGATTCATCAACTTATTTTCTGATTGGTTTCCTGACAGCTTCTCAGATTCTCTGACTGATAGCTCTACCTCCCGCCTTGAGCTCGACTGTGTGATGTGTCTGCTCAGACGAGAGGTGTTCTGGGCGCTTAAGGTAACCTTCATACACTCTGGTGGTCAGTCAATATTTCAGCATGCTGCACATAGAAGTATAAAACATTGATTAAGGCACAGTGCTGAAAATTGGAAACAGACTTTGTGATTTATAATGCTACTTGATTTACCAAGTGGAATCATTTTCATGATTCATTTCCTTTTGCACATTCCTGCTGCTACTGTACAGTATGGGTCTGTCATTACGCAAGCTGGAGCATCAAAGGAGGATATTGCCATCTGCTGGAAAAAGGTGGAATGACAGTGCAGCATGTAACATTTAACCTTTGTAATGAAAAAATCATCAAGGCTATAACAAAATAATGTATTGAGATATGTTTGTGCATAAAAAAATCAAATGGCACTGATTTTAATAATAATGCTTTTTGTATGTATATATAGATATCTGTAATATGTATGTATGTAATATATCCTGATGAAATCTTCCTTCATAATGTCCCTGTTGGTGTTCCATCCCCCAGTACCACAACAAAGTTCTGACTATTTCCATTAATATTTATATGTACTAGTTAGATGACACAGTTCATGTTAACAAAGCATGCTGACTGCTTCAGCTATAACTATTACAACAATGCTATTCCTGAACATCTAAAGGATGACCCAGTTCTGTGTGAGAGGACTGTTCTCTTCCAACTTGCACTGAATTAATCACAGCTGACAGATTTGAATGCCCACTGTTTGGATGTTGGTGTTATTTTATCTGTCTGAATAATTAGGCCAGGCTTTGGACATCTCAATTTAGACCCTTTATTATCCACAAATGACAAAACCTGTGTTGCTTAACTAGTGAACCCTTATGTCAGACTGCAGCACTTGCATTACACTGTCAACAGAATAGCCACACACAGTGATGATTCTGGGGTTCACATACTGTAAGACGTGACTAGATAATTTAAAGCTGCCCCTAAGATGGACACACCTGGAATTTGAAAACACAGATTAGCCAAATTTCTAAGGGCATAGACTTTTAAACAGCTTCTACCACATGTTGGCCACTTGTTTTGAATAAAATTTGCATTGGATTAACTGTGAAATACCTATCCTCATTTTCATTTTCACCTCCTCACTTTTATTTCTAAAGAGCAGTGGTGGATAAAGTGTTCAGACACTAAGTAAGAGTATCAGCGTGAAAATACTCAATTACATTATACATACAGTCCTGCATTTAAATGTTTTGCTGAAGTAAAATCCAAGGGTAATTAAAGTATCGAAAGTTCAAATACCCATTGTGCAAAATGATATATTATTGAATGTTTCAACATGCTAACTGTGTTTTAATGTTAGATGTTCAAATGCTGGTGCTGATATTAACTATTTTAGATGATGACCATATTGTTCCATAAATCAAACTTGTTTCAGAAGGAAGAAGAAATATTCTTTACATATAAAGTATTTAAAGAAGGCAGAATAAGGGATTGCTGCTTTAGAATCAAGAAAAATGTCACGTTATTCTAGATCATTCTAGTTGACTTCTATTAAAACAGGTTGACATTATCTTACCACAATGACAGACATGTCCACTTGTTTTAAGAAAATAAGACCAAATAGCAGTAGCAGTAATAACCATAGTTATAGTAGTCTGTGCTGTTGTTGTAGCACCTCCTGGAGGCCAAATCATGGTTCTTACCTTGAAATTATGAGCAGGAGGTAACAGCAAAACTATAGTGAACAACCAACACACAATAAAATTTAATGAGGGGAAAGTTAAGGAAATCAAACAGTTCTCAACCCTGAAGCAGACAAAACAGCTTTTTCTGAAAAGACAGGAAAATAACACAATCCAACCCTTTAATTCAGCACCATTTCCACTTGTTTCTACTCACTGTTGTCATGTTACTTATTCTCATGGGTATGGATATTTAAAATTGAATAAAGTACTGACATACTCTCTGTATCACCTGACTGTGACTGACATTTCTTAAGTGCAATCAAAGCATCATTATAAACTGTGAATACAAAATAAAGCAAGTATCAGTTGCAGTTAATTCACAATTATATTCCCAATTACTAACAGAATAATTTACTAAATCTCACTGAATTTGGATAGTTTTTTTTTAAGCTAAATTATGATGTTAAGTTATTGAGTGAATCTACCTCTCACAAAGCAGACAATTTGAGATCTGATTTGTTTGCATTGCTTATATATGTTCATAATGTTATTCTATGGATCATTTGCATTGAAGTTAGACTTGGCTTATTGAATATGTTGGCTTATTGATCACTTTGCTTCTTCTGCGTTGTTTATATGGCTGCAGAAATCCTTTTCCTAGAATGTCAGTTCACTGGAAAGTGAAATACCACAGACAAAATGCCAAGAAGTACGCCTTGAGAATTTGGAGCAAAAGAACAAACAATAAACGCTACCTGCAGAGCCTAGGCAACTTATCAGATGATGTCAGGCAAGGTAAATATTGAGCAGCACACCATGTTGTGGCCTTGTCCAGGGTCATTTTAAAATATTATATCTACATGTACTTATAAATAGGTCTCATAGTCTTATTGTTTCCATTGCACAATACCAAAACAACATTTATCCATAGCTTGACAAACTATTGCATGTGTGGTCATGGTTCGAGCTTTCTAATATCTTACTTCCATTTAAGAACAATTTCAAAACCAATTTAGAGTGCATTTTACAAAACTAAGATTCTTTAGCTCGTGGTAGTAGGGCTAGGGAGTATAATATGGTTGTTCTTTCCTTTCCTTCTTTTAAAAGAACAAATTGGTACTGTGGCATATACAGGCAGAAACATCAATGGATAATAAACAGACATATATTGTTCGGTATCCTTTTTAAAAATGTTGAAAATTGGCTTAATATACTCTTATGAATATGAAATTTTGCCAAGGTCAATAAAGGAGTGGTCATGAACATCAAACAGCACATATTCACGACATAACGCAAATCCAGGAAGGCTGTTGTCAATAATGAAACCGTAAACATCAGGCCAAACGGTTGTTATTCTTCTGATTTTATCCAGGATTTCCAAAAGTCTGAGCAGTGACGTAAATGCAGTTCAGACAGACGCGAGTAATCGATCCCAGATCTCAGGCAAGGCAGAGCAATGTTTTCATGCCTGCTGACGACCTGCGCTAGTCACTGCCATGGCGCCCGTAATGTCGCTGATTAAGGAGGGGACATCGTAGCATCGTGTTTTAATTCGCTTTGGTGGAGATTATCACGCGCGTTGTGCTACTCCTGGTTTGAATTTAATAACATTTATCTTTGAACCCGCCATGACCGTGGAGCAGAATGTCCTCCAGCAGCATTCTCAGAAGGTAAGCTTACAGAAGCTAACTTGGTGGCTAGCTAACTTTAGCCTAACTGTATAGCTACATAGTTTTAGGGCTCAAAGTACTCACAGAGTCGGCTAGCCAGCTCCGTGGTTAGTTAGGGTAACGTTGAATTGCCATTTTATTTGGGTTACGGGCCACCCGTTGCTAATGAACCGTTTGTAAATCGCAAGTTGATATGTTTAAGCTAGGCCTGCCGTTAGCCTAGCGCAAAGCGTTCTCCAATATTTTGCTAACGTTAGCTGTTAGCCCATGTTGGCTAACGGCACAACGTAAAGTTAAACCATAGCGATGTCTCTGTAAGTTGTGTACCGTTGACAATATCTATCAGCTCATACATATACAGGTAACACCTGGTTACGTTAGCATCCCGGGCTAACTGTGGCGTCAATTGAAATAAACAAGGCCAAATGACAGTGTCAGGTTTAACATTAACGTTAGTCAGTGTCGTCAACTTCGTAGTATTGAATCAGTAAATGTTCTATCCTAACGGGGCGCTTCGCTCAAGACATTTCACGTTGTAGGTTAGCACCAACGCTAATGTTTTGGTATTCGTGGCTGTTGCGCGGTTGTGTGTGCAAATGTTTCCTAGGTTACTCATCATCACATATCTGATATCTTTGTTTACAAAGTATGGCCAGCGGCGAAGGTAGAATCACAGCCGAGCCCTGATGCTGGGCGCAGATTGAGTAGCCTGGATAGCAAGCCAAGTGTGTAATGGTTCATAACCGAGAAGGTGGATCATTAGGTGACATTATCATACTCTCTGTTTACCAAAGTGCATTTGAGGTCCATTGTGTTGCTTAGTGAATCCCATAACGAGGAGCCTGTGTGGCCACCATGCCCAGCATTGCATACCTCTGGTTAGTTATGTAACCACTTGAGCGATGTTGCTAAAACGTAGGCTAGATGTTTGCTCTGCTAGTCTAGCTTTAAAAGAAAATAAATAATTATTTAGCATAAAGGGTTATGTAATCATGTGTTACCACACTGCATGCAATTCAGTACCTTTGTTCTGAAGCATAGACTGTAACTCACTTACCTAACGTTAAAAACCCAAGTGAGCAGTGTGAGGTGAGTATGTGATGGGGCGATGACAGTCAGAAGTCTGGAGCAAAGGCCAAAATAAACACCTAGCCTTCCGTTGATGACTCAAACTTAAAAGTAGCAGTGTAACACAAACCCTATTATGCAGTCTGACCTTTTCAGGGGCTGAAATGAAATAAACAGTATAAACAGTCAACAGTAACCGTAAAAACTGGCCAAAACTTGTCTAATACATTTTTGAGCCATTTTAGTCCACCATACATGAATTTGTAAAATAAATATAAATAACTTTTCCTAGCTTTTATATTGTCAATTTTTTTATAATAGACTGCGTACAAAGCTGTTTGTTTTGACAGTGCGTGTGTGGTGGGATTTAGTTCTAGTCAGTAAGGTTGTGCTCCATCATTAAAGAGCTTCATGAGAGCAGGGTGTGGTGCAGCTTTTTATGTAGTGACCTGTAGATGGTGAGCTCACGTTGAAGGACCGCCTGTGCAGCTTGTTTTTGTTTGCAGCTCCTTCACATGCTCATACTAAACAGCCGTGAGAACCGTGTGGTCCATTCACTGGGAATCCCCCTGTCTGTAGCCTGATACAAAGTCCTAACGTTGCCTGTGCAGAGAATTATGTGGTGTTATTCACACAAGCTGCCTTTTAATGGCCGATGACCAGTGTGACAAGCAGCCATGCCAGACGTGTCACATGGCGATGAGAAAAGTGTGTATGTGTGTGTATAACTGCTCTTGTGGTTGACTTGGCCCAAATCTGTCACAGGTGTAACTTCCCTCACACTTCACTGACCTCGCCATCCTCCGTGCCAACAAACCTGCATCCATCAGTCTCTGACAGTGACCAACACACACTGGCATCTTCATGTTTACTTGTCTCCAGTGGTTGAAACATGGCAAAATGTAAAACTGTTGTAAGTGCATGAGTTACAATTCTATGAATGTCATAGTAACGGAGCTCTTTAGGATCTCCACACTGCAAACACAAGCAGCCATCATAACTATAGTTACCTTCTGTTTGGAAGCTGCATTTTCTTCAGTGTTAATATGTTGTTACAAATATGAATCAAAACTGTTTAAAGACCTGAAAGAAAATTGTAAATGAGGCACTATATGAATGTATTCTAGTAGTTTCTCTTTGTTGTATTTTAGACTGTACATTTCTTGTAAATTTGCCCTGATTTTCAGACTTCCATTGGAATATTTGTCATTCTCTACCGTGACATATCAGATAAATCATAGTACCACTTCCCCTATGAGGTTTGTAGAGAACAGTGTCATATTTTCCAGTCTGTTGCTGTGAGCGAACATGTTACGTGAGTATTAAACTCACTGCTGAGTTGTGTATTCACGTTTAGTAAACCGTGAACATGGTCTCGACAAATTGGGTATAATGCATTATTTATATGCTGTTAGTCTAACAAAAGCGTGAACTTTCTTTTCACTTTCTCCAGTGAGTCTGTGAAAAAATGGGCCCCTGGGGTTTAATAAAGCACTTGCTTTCGAAAAGCTCACAGAAAACCATGTAGCTGATAGCAGGGTTGGAGTCAGGTTACAAAGCAGGTACAGAACATCTTCCCCAGGGCTGCAAGAATTGAGATCCTCACTGCAGGACAGGACAGATGTCATTCTGGTGTCTCTGATGTCTTAAATGCAAGTTTTTCCAATCATTTGTTGTGATGATAATATTGATTTAATGAGGGAACATATTCTTCAGTAAGTCCACAGTGTGTGACTATTGAATTTATAATGAAGTAATCTATATTGTTAATATTGTGGCACTGCACATTAAGACTCCTAGTTATTTCCAAGGCACACAACAATGGAAATATTAGCATTGCACATTCTGAATTGGGTGTGTGACTGAGATCTCTATACTTTGATTTATTTCACCTTTAGTGACCCTGGTATGTTGTTCTGGGTGTGGCAGGCTAAAGGCTAACACAAACCTCCTGCGATCAATAGTTATTTTTATTTTATTTTTACTTCCTTGTCTGCTTGTATGAGGTAATTATGCACAAGGATTTGCACTGTTTGCTCTGACTGCTGTTTTCACATCAAACAAAAAAAGAGCTATATTTTAAACGCTGATCATAACTTATGTGCAGCAGCTATGACTGCTCACTCTCCCCCTCTGCCTGCCAGCTGGCATCTTAGTGGTTGAACAAAGAGCGTCATTTCCAAATCACCACACTGACAGCAAGTAATGTGTCGGACCCCTGCAGAATGTGGTCTCAGGCTGTGTTCACACTTGGGCCATTTGGAATTCTTTTTCCAGGTCTGAGGCCATTTTCTTTGACAGATCAGTACTTTTGGTGAATTGCAGTATCTGATGTTTAATTAAGGTGCTGTTCCATTATTCACCTGTATCATTTTGCATTCATTGTGCAGAGCCATACACTGCAAAAGAGCCCAACACAAAAGACACATGGGTGAAAGCCTGCATTATTTGTTTAGTAGTTTGTGACATGGCATGCTCCCAAGCACGACTGTTTTTTATGGCCTTTTGTAGCAACTCCATTAAAAGTATTTATAAATGTCTGTGCGCTGCCATGGATGTGTGTTGTGCAATGTGTGAAAACAACCTACAGTAATGAGTCCTAAACCAATGAAAACCCACTCTTATCTGTTGCCTGCTGCACCTGTGAAAGCAGTCGGAAAGAAGTCTGTGTTCCTCTCACTCAAGACTTCAAATTTGTACCGTGTACTCTGACATTAAGTGCACTCCCCCCATTATTTATAGTGCATTTATTCAAGCTGTGCATTGCAGGTTAAGTGTGTGCGGTAAGGCCATGCAGTCCAGCTGGGTTTGACATCAATAAGTCATCAGACTGCAGTAGACTCGTTATTAGAGATGAGAATTGACAGGTCTGATTAGGTACAAGTGGTACAGGTTCAAGTGAGAATTTATGGAATTGTGATTTGATATTAGGGTTGTTTTGTGATTAATGGTTACTTTTACAGCTTTTACCTTTTGTCCGAATGGTGTTCAGCCAAATGAGATCAAATGTTGGTTCTATAGAAAGTGAATTTTCTGTGACTCAGTGTTTAGTGACACAGTTCACACTGATCGATGAAGAATGTATCAACCAACAGTTATGGTGCAACATTAATATTTGTGCATGCCATTAATAGCTATGATCAAAGTCTGTGATGCAGTATGTCACTCTGCAAAATATAAAAAAATCTATAATTATAATATAAACAAATATTACCCTGTAGCATTAGATAGAGATCACACTGTGCCCTTCTTTATTCACCTGACTGTCACTATAGATGTGTAGCATTATGAGTAAGTTTATTGATTTAGTTGAAATGTTGGCTTTTTTCTCCCTTCTGTTGTGGTTCCTTTTGGATAGTTTTTTTTTTTTTTTTAGAACCTGAACCTGCTCTAAACCACTTGCTCCTTCTCTTCCATAATGCTCGGCTCTGAACTACTTTGTATTCTCCTTTCTTCTTTTCCCTTGATAGCACCAGCAGACGCTACTAAACCAGTTGCGGGAGGTCACAGGCACCACAGACATTCAGCTGCTTCAGCAGGCCCTGCAGGTACATCATGAAAAACATGCATTACAAATTCTAATTTCAACGCTGATACATACTGTGTATACACTGTTCTCTTTCTGTTAGTCTGTTTCACACTTACACACAGACTTTCAGACATTGCCTAATGCAAGGACAGTTTTGTGGTCTCTACAAGCTGTTTTCACATAATTCATCCAAACAGTAGCCCCGCTCTCACAGAAGCATAACATTTTCCTTGTAAGACCCAATTTATGTAAGAGACAGGTGGAAAGCTTTGCTACCTCAAAAGATAAACACCAAATACAGTTTTTAAGTTTCAGGTTTTTTGCACACACTTTGTCAATCTTGCTGTCTTCTTTTTTAGATCAGCAGGCATTGTTAGAATATGGTTTCCTTAACAGCAGCCAAAGTCTTCAGGTCTCATCAGATATCTAAATTCTGAAAAAATATATGCAAACCTCCAGTGGAACAGGCTTCAAGGTCTCATCGAGCGTTCCTGCTAATTATTTTCCTGTTTTCAAACCCAACTGACATAAGCCTCAACAAACACATTGTTGCTGCAGGTGAGCAATGGAGATCTGGCCGAGGCTGTGGCCTTTCTGACAGAGAAGAATGCTAAGGTTCCTCAGCAAGATGAGACAACCTACTACCAGACATCCCAGGTGGCCAGCGACAGATACATCAGCGTGGGCAGCCAGGCAGACACAAGTGAGCAGCTTGCTTCAACTTTTGGCACAGAAGTTAGAGACCTTACAGGGATGATTAAAAGAAAAAGACAAGCTCAGTTTACAGTTTTATAACAGGAGGTCTCAATCAGTGTAAGATTTGTGTATTTGAATTCTTTCATGAAAAAAAACAAAAGGCTTTTGAATACTTACCTAAATTGTCAAAATATAAACCATAAAAGTAAATCGGTGTTGGTGCAAACCAAATTACTCTGTGTGTGCGTGCGTGTGCATTTTCTTAATGTAGATGTGATTGACCTGACCGGGGACGATAAAGATGACCTGCAGAGGGCTATTGCCCTCAGCCTTGAGGAGTCCAACCGGGCCTTCAGGGAGACGGGCATCACCGATGAGGAGCAGGCCATCAGCAGGTGGGCTCAACTGCATTACTGACTGATAATAACAGATATACTTAGCAATTCTGGACTCAACATTTGACCAAACAGTTTGTACCAAGCCTTGGATGAATATCCACACTTACCACCTACATTATCTCCACCTTAGCCCAGGGTGTGATGGAAATATATCTAGCATTCATTTGTGTTATGCAATGCTGAATTGTTGATCTGTAGTGGGAAAGAAACCTGTAATAGGGTGTCTTAAAAAGTCTAAAATCTAACAGCCTACATTTTAGGCCTTAAAATGTCTTAAATATGATTTTGACAGGTCTTAAAAATTGATTGGATGAATGAAGTGAACATTACTTGTATAAAGTAGCATTTTTCCGTCTTGCTTTTAAATGTGTTTTAGGGATAGATACATTTGTATTGTTCATACTGTAGCAACTACAAAATGAAAAGAAATACAAATCTTAAATTGCATTCATTATGGTCTTGAAAAGGTCATAAAAAGTCTTAAATTGAACCTGTTGAAAAATGCAGAGACCCTGTGTAAGGATCGGTATCAGGTAAAATACATTTGCTCCATATTCGAAAATAAGAGTGTGCGAATGTGAAAAATAATTTGATAGCACTGTTGAATTACTCTTCTCTGGTACCATTGTTTGCAAAATACACTTATTCACAAAACTCTAACACTAAGGAATCCTCTCTCTTATCAGCGGTCTACAAACATTCAGCAAGCAGATTCTCATTTTCACCAGTTAAAATGACAAACGTTGGCGGTGGCAGATCACATCAGCTGACGCTACTTAACTTTAATTCCGTGAGTAACTTGATGACAGACTGGCTGTTGTCGGGTTTGTGGGCTCGCTGCAGCCGGTGTCTGTAGTCTGCCAGACCTTCCAACAACTCCAACAGAGTGATGCATCCTCTCTCTAGCAGATGGCTTCACATCAGTTTCAGTTGCATTCTCCCAGTTAAACTTTAACCAAATCATATCAATTATTTCAGCTTCTAAACCTTTGAATCAGGACCTTCAGTTTCAGTTCAGTTGAATGAGCTTTATTGGCATGGACAAAAATGTGTTGTTGCCAAAGCAAATAACAATTATTACATATTGAATACATTACAATATATTTTGTACATTTATATGGCTCAAATAGCCAGTGAAAAATATGTTTAAGATTTAGTAGCTATAGCTGTTATTTTATGGTGTCAGATACATAAATAATCAACAATAAGGTAAATATAAGTATTGTATAGGACTCGGCAGATATATTTAATATATTTGATTCATCAACATCCCTGTTGTATTAGATATAACAAGGTCAGGTCAGATCACCCACTATTGGCACCTAATAGTTACATGTAACAGCAATTCCTTTCTGCCAAAGAGATAAGTAAAGTGTGTTGAATAACCTAACTTCTGAAAGACATTCAGTTTTTGAAATTTGGTCTTTAACATTTTGGATATTTCCAGGCTAGGCTGGAGGTTTAATGTTATTTGAACAAGGGCACATTTCAGGGGAATAATGGTGGAATGTCACCACTTTAACCCTTTTGAAGAGTTGTATTTTTTCCTTTCATCCACCGTCCAGGTATTGGTAATGGTCACCTGCCTTGTAATAAATGTGATTTTTTTACTATGTCCTGATACAGGAGAATAAAAGCACTATGAACATTACATTTAAAATCACAATCCCTAATATCAAGTACAATATGACCTGACTTGAGCACAATACTAAGGAGCCGCTATCTGGCAGTTTAATTAAACCCCATTCTGACTGAACTGTGGACTGTATGTAGAGGTTTATACAGGGACGTCTTGTTTTGGAGAAATGCTGCTGAATTCCGTGTATTCCAATAGAAGGATGCAACTTCTGTCCATTGGGGAGCATTGTGAAACAGCTTTGTTTGTTTTTTTTTGCACAAGATGAAGAATGAGATACCAGTAGTTTGAAAATGGCACTGGATAAACTGCAACAGGGGAGCCAGTGAGTGATGAGGTGTCCAGGAAGACTAATCTGCACCCCCTACTGTGAAATGAACATGAAGTTGTATTGTTCATAAAGCCAGTAACTCCTCTACCCCCAGTGGATTCAGCCAGACCTTTCAAATGTAGTGGGGTGATAGGTCTGGCAATGCTGATCATGCGATCATTTGGTGCCTTTTTAATTGAATTTGTTTTGCATTCCTTTTTTCTTTTTTTCTTCTTTTTTTTTCTTTAGAGTTTTGGAGGCCAGCATAGCAGAAAACAAGGCAAGTCTGAAACGTACCCACACAGAAGTATGGAGCGATTCACCCAACCCACACGACAGGAAGAGGATAGACAACTGCCCCGTGGGGCTGAAAAATGTTGGCAATACCTGCTGGTTCAGTGCTGTCATACAGGTGGGTGGGCACACGCACACTCACTGATGCTCCAAAACCAAGAGAATAGATCTGTTTGAAATTTGAACAAATGTAATGTATTTAAAGCCTTTTCTTAGAGCTTTTCTATAGACCTTCTTCTGATTGTGCTGTAAAATCCCTCTACTTTTTCAATTAGGCTTTTTTGCCATTTCTTCTAGTACTTCATCTTGCACCTATTTTGTGCCAGTTGTCACAAAGACTTATTTTCTTGTATGCTGGTGGAGTCGGTGGTAGAATGTGACCTGAGCTGAAATATGCCAGATGAACACTGGATACACCATCACATGGTGCCCAGCTCTAGTTTGCAATGTAACCCCCCCCCCCCTTTGACAAGAAGGCACTGCTTGAACCTGACCCCGCTGCACTTGGTATGAGAACAGGAGTAAACAACTTTCTCCTTTCATAACAAGATCATGACAACTTTCATGTTCACTCTCACAAACAAAACAGAAACTAAGCACATGACCCTAAGTTAAAGCAGTGAGCTCTTTTTATTGCTGTCACCGGCGTAACATGTTGAACATTGTGGCCCCTCAGTGTGTGCACTTTTTTTTAAAATT